ATCAAGAATGTTCAACGCAGGAGTGACCGAGGGACAATCAACCACGAGGCCACCATTGTTCGATGGAACAAACTACTCGTATTGGAAGGAGAGGATGAGAATCTTTATCCAATCCAACGACTACAAGCTGTGGTTGATTGTGAAGAACGGCTGCGGAGTCCCGATGAAGAAAGTCGGTGAAGTCAATGTTCCCAAAACCAAAGAAGAGTTCACCGACGAATATTGCAAAAAGATGGAGCTCAACGCCAAGGCAATAAACATGATTTATTGCGGTGTTAACGTGGATGACTACCGCAAAATCTCAAGGTGTGAAACCGCAAAACAAATGTGGGAGAAATTGGAGGTCACCTACGAAGGAACCGCACAGGTTCGGGAGGCCAAAATTGATCATCTCACTCACGAGTATGAACTCTTTTCAATGAAGGAAAATGAGAAGATTGAGGAAATGTTTGAGAGATTCTCTAACATCATCAATCCCCTCAATCTTCTCGGGAAGACATACACCGACCGAGAGCTCGTGAGAAAGGTGCTGCGAAGCCTATCTCCTAAATGGCGCTCAAAGGTGGACGCAATCGAAGAAGGTCGTGACTTCCAAACAACGACCTATGATGCTCTTCGAGGTAATCTTATTACCTATGAAACCACTCAACTTTCAAAGGTGGTTGTAGAAAGGAACAAAAGGTCTATTGCTCTACCCGCAACAACATCAACAGCACAACAACGTTGATGATGAAGATGATGAAGATGATGACAGCGACGACACCGACCTCGGACTCTTTGTCCGAAAATTCAAGAAGATGATGCTCAAGAAGGGAGCCAAGAAGAACATTCCACCCAAATGCTATAGGTGTGTTGAAGTTGGACACATCAAACCAATGTGCCCAAAGCTCAAGAACGAGAAGGACAAGAAGACACCGAAGAAGCAGCGTGCTTACATTTCTTGGGAGAACGACGGCTCCGGGAGTGAAGACTCGGAAACGGAAGAAGTGGCCAACTTGTGTCTCATGGCCATTGAAGATGGTGATGCATCAAAAGAGGTAAGTGATCAAGAACCTTCTCCCAATGATCCTTTAACTCTTAATGATGTTGTTTGCATTGTAGAAGATTTGGTAAGAATGT